GAGGCAGAGCCTCACCTGTCATACTCATAGACTGGCCATACTACAATGTAACGGAAAAACAACTAAAGAAAAACTAAATAGTAATAATAATAAAATGTCTCCACTGATCTGTTTTGTAAATGTGATTTCTGTTTAATTCCAATCGCTTCTTATAGTCAAAATCAGCAAATTTGCCGAGCTCCGCTACAACTCCTACATGGGAGCGATGAGGAGTGAGGCAGGGACGAGCTCTGCCTCTCGTAAGCCCACAGTAACTTGCTGGAGCGCGGGCACTAATTTAGCGCGGGCACTTATTTTGTGAGCGCGCTCAAGCCAGTTGCTGTGTGGTGAGGTGAGGCACAGATGAGCTCTGCCTCACCTCAGAATGCGTCACCTCACAGAAACTGGCTGGAAAGCGGGCACTAAGCGCATGCCTGCACCATCTCACTGTATGTCACCAATGTAATGTTTGTAGATCCCTTTATTACATTTATCCTCACCATCCATAGTCTCTAAATAACTTATTTCACGTATATATGATATTTAGGCTCGCCGTACAACGGCAATGAAAAAAGCACCAGGGGAGGCAGCCATAACCTCTGCCGCACTGAAGGGGGCGCAAGTGAGCCCACAGGTCCTTGTTGCTACTGTTATTCTACGCAGAGACGGTATAGACGCGAACAACAAACTAGACTTTTGAAGCTAGAGGAAGATAAGGAGGACTTTTACAAAAAAGTAATAGAGATTGTTGTCCAGAAGGAGAGCATGGACTTCATCTTCAAGTCAAGGTAAGACCACCATTGGTAATGAAAATGGGATCTTACTAAGAAAGAACAATCCAATATTTAGATTTTGGGTATCCTTTTGTTGAACGGTCTGTTTAAAATGAATCGAAACATCAGACCAAAAAAGCTTTTGAAAATAACAGAATATTTCGATTAAGGTCAGAATATAATATTTGTAAATCTGACGCTGAAAGAGTCAGTGCCTCACCAGCCATGAACCTCACCGCACGTCACTGGTTCACATGGATCTGAGATATTGACCCTCCTGTTAGCTCCTGCTATCTTAGCAAAGATGGAAGGCTTATCGGGTCCTATGTCGTTGGTTGTCCCATTAACCCCGTGTTTGGTTAAGAATATAGCATTGAAATTAGCATCCCACTATACGAGAGGGTCCCCTAGTTATTAGCCTTGTTAGGTTTTACCTCGTGTTTCCAGTAACCTAATGAGCTTAGTGCGTAGCATTCAAATAGCAGTAGGCTAGTGGTAAGATAACCAGATCCAAGGTCATGGGTTCGAAGTTCATAAGGTTATAACTGTCACTAATTAGCATAATATTAGTTCAGCAGCACCATTAAAGTTAGTATTTCAAAATTCAAAGGTAAGTTCAGTTCTCCCACATATGTCATATATGTCATATATAAAGATATCTTTGATTGTTGTTTTTTGGCAATTAATATCCTGGCTTGTCTTCTCCTCCCTAATCTACTTCCCTCAGTAGGTTTAAAGCATAATTAATGTAATTATTCCATCATTTAATTAATCAGAGAATGATCAATTATCACAACATATTTATTTACTGATTTTTTTTCCCACATTTTGTAACAAGTATATGTTTTTAGAAACATTTACGTAACAGAAAAATTACCTTCCCTTCATAGGAAAATACGATACAAATATAGTGAACCATAAAAACAGTAAGTCGGAGGCAAGAAGTCAGTGTTATACTTCTATTAGGATGTAATAGAAAAAAATACCTTCCCTACATAGGAATACACAATACAAATATAGTGAAACATCAAACCAGTAAGTCGGAGGCAAGAAGTCAGTGTTATACTTCCATTAGGATATAATAGAAAAAAATACACCTTCCCTACATAGGAATATACGATACAGAAATAGTGAAACATAAAAACAGTAAGTCGGAGGCAAGAAGTTAGTGTTTATTCTTCTATTAGGATTTCTACTCCCATCTTAGAGACCTCTAAGGCCCAGTGAAACTTCCCAGTGTTTCCACATCTTCCTGGCCGTATCTGGGGTCCAATGGATTCGGTCCCTATTCGTACTGAAATCCTTTCCACTAAGTTTTTCAATGTACTGAGGGGTTCCTCGAATGGCCGTGTTAAGGTATGTGATGTTCCTGTTGATTGCAGGTGGTAAGAAAGTAGAGGAATTGATTACTGGGATATGTATGATGGCGTTGGGGAACGTGTCTCGGGCTGCGGACAATAATTTAATGAGGTTGTTGTTCAAAATGGTTCTGTTATTCATGTGACGATCATTGAGACCAAAGCACAAAAGAACTGTCTTTGTGTCTGCCGATGTTGGGGTTTTAAATGTAATCAGATGGTCAGCTTGGGTCAAATTAGCGCCGGGGTAACTGTCGACCTGTACTCTTCTGTCCTGGATTAATGGTAAACATGCGATATTAGAAGCCCCCACAATAAGGATTTGTCGTATGGGTTTAAGGGACCAGTTTTTTGCCTTATTACCGTTGTGTTCATGGCGTGTGAATAGGCTTCTTGGAGAGATCGGAGGGGAGGGAGGAAGGTTAAAATCCTCTGCGGTAAGTGGTCCGGATCGACCTAGTTCTAGTTCTTGGTGGGTGCTTGTAGTGAGGTGTATATGTGTCTTCATCAGTTTTATCAGATTGGGGGTGTTTGTAGTTCTAGGTATGACCGGGGAGAGGGCAGTGTCTCGGGGAACTAAGTTAGCGGCTGTTAACCCTAGAGGTCCGACCGTGAATGCCCGGTCCGTAGTGGACAACACCATGGGCGTCAAAGCAGGCACGACACTCTCATTAGTAGACTGTGTACCGATGAATGGCTGAGTCTGTTTGTGGGGGGCTGGGGCTTCCCGTGTTATGGAGGCCAGAATCAGATGCTGGAGGTCTCCCTTTGTAGCTATTGACCCTGGTCCAGCTGCAGAGGTCGGGTCCGTCAAAGGCACAGCAATGGGCTGAAGTGTGTTGGAGGTATCCCCCAGAGAGGGTCGTTGGCTCCCAGGACCCTGGGCCCCTCCGTTCTCCGCTCTGTTACTCCTTGGTTGGGGAACCCGGGTGGTAGGCCCTGAAGACCTCGGTCCATGAAGAGCAACCTGTATTCCCACCAGAGCAAGGTCCTCCGCTGTCCGAATGAACACATCGTCCCGTATTGAGGAGAATTTTGACCTAAGCCATTGACAGGCTATTTCCCAGGCCTGTTGCTCTTCCACCCCGGTTAAGTTTCTGAATTTGATCAATAAATTGACCACTGTCCGATCATAATGTTCATTTGCTATTTGCAGTCCTGTATGTAACCAGTTGGTTGCGTTGCCCTGTAAGAGGTGGGAGGTGTCTGTCGTCGGTATGCAGGGTTTAATTTTGTTGGAGATCCAATTTTTAATTTGAGTTAGCTCTGGTAGAGTGGTTGTCGAACCCGCAATGGCCCATCTAATCTTCTGCTGATTGTAGTTTGTACGGAGCAGTCCAAAAATATTCCTAGTAAGCACCTGAAATCCTGTGAGTTATTTTCCTTGAGGCATATTGTGGTTTTGATAGAAAATCTAAGAAAAGGGAATATAAACATATACCATTTGTGGTTTTAATAAATATACTACCTAGTCAGGAAAGCGAACAGTTGTACAAATAGTTATTTGTGGAGAGGTTTTTAGATATACCGCCGTAATCAATGATCCATATATGGTCTTATGTCTACCTAAAGTGGTGACAAAGAAAAGTAAGGTACATATTTCTAATCTGGTCCCAAAGGAATAAAATTAAGTGCTTGTGAAGTAATTTTTAAATCCAGTAACTGACTCATTGATGATTCTAATTTCGAAAAAATGTTTTGATTAGTGAAGGAGAAAAGTACATTATTAATTGTTTTTTGTGGTTTTTGAGTTGAAAAACAGATAGTATTTCCGTAAGACCGACACATATATATAGTTAACTTGGTTTGTTTTGTTGTACATGAGTGATGAAAAGAATAGGAATATATGAAGAATCAGTTAACATATATTGTAGTCTATTTACAAATAGAGCAAGTAATATTTGTGTAGAAAATGGTGAATCAACTGTATTAGGAGTAATAGTTTGTGTGTTCAGTAGTAAAATTAGCTTAGTGTGTAATCTTCCAGTAGTAGTGAGCCAGTGGCAATACCGTCAGGCCAGGGGTGATGGCTTAAAGCTCCTGCGAACATGATCTCACCATTAGGACCAGCATCGCTTAATATCCAATCAGCCTCTGATTTTATGGAAAAATAAATTATTTTAATTCATTCTAACTTCATTGTATGTGTCTCCCAGCTAGAAAATCATTTAATTATTCATCCATTTAATTACCCCCTCATTTATTCATTTGTTTATTTAGTTATTTATTTGTTTACCTACCTACCTATTAAATCACTTAACTAATAAAATAATTAAGTAATTAAATACTTAACCTCAGTAATTCTGGTTTTGGTTTTCTGTCATTTGACAGTCAATACTCAGATTAATTTCCTCATCGGTTCTAAAAGGATTAAATCAAGTGATAGTATTAAGGGTCAAATGACCGACCTATTAAAGGCTCTAATTTAGAAATAGGGTGAGGATAGAAAGAGAGAGGGAGAGATAGAGGCGTCAATGTAATGTCCCCCGAAGTGATGTATACATGGTGTGTGTGCGCGTGTGTGTGTGTTTCATACTCTTACTGTAAACTATTTTTTCAGCTGTGATTTGTTCATTTTGATTTCAATAAATATACAATAAAGAACTTTGTATGTGCAGCAACAAAGACGTCCTGTATTGATGCATAATGCTTGTTTTGTATTTAGAAGTTCTGTATTGATTGTTTAGTAGAACATTTGTGAGATTATTATAGTGTAGAGGTTGTGTGTGTTTTGGGATTGTATACTCTAAACCTTTATTTCATCAGGGATTGATTGAATTGAATATTTAATATACTATAAATAACTAATAGGCAACTTAGAACGTTTTTTTAAATGTGCACCTCAGCACCTTGTGTTTGTTTCCTAAAGTACGGCAATAGTGTGTGTTACCTCGTGTGTTTCTTTCAGGTAATCCTCTTCTGACTCTGTGCAGATGTTGCTCTGTTTCTCTTTGGAGGACTTGACGTAGTAGCCATGCAAGTTCTGCATCTCCTCTTCGTGGATGTGTTGTAGCTCCCCGATCCTCTCTTGAAACCCACTTTCCAGATTCTTCATCCTTTCCTCGTGATATTCCTCGATTTTCTCGATGTCTTCCAGCAGCCTCCGGTTCCCAGTCTCAATAAATATGATCTTCTGCTCAGCAGGCTCCAGTGTTTCTCGTAATGCGCTGTTGTCCTCCTGAAGCTGACATAAGGTGTGAGGAAAAGCCTCCTGCTCATCCTTTAATGTGCTGCCCTGCTCTTGGCACAGAGCTTGCAGTTTGCCCTGTAACACCTCGCTGCGCTGCCGCTCTAAATCCGAGTGCAGTCTGTCTGACAGATAAATCAACTTCGCCTGCTCCTGCATCCACCTTAGGTCGGCTGCAGAAGCATTTTCCCACTTATCATCCACGCCTCGCTCTACTCCGCTGCCATCGGAAACTTCCTGGCAGAGTTTGCGTAAGAATGTAGCTCTCCTTTGCAGCCGAGATATAAGTCTCTCTAACCACTCTGGTTCTTTCTCTTCCTTTCTTCCAGGTTGATGTCTTTCAGGTGGCTGTGTGGCTCCTTCTGAACCTTTTCGCTGTCACTGAACCTGCTGCTCCTCATAAGGAGCCAACTCCGGGGGATTCACATTTGCCAGACTCTTCTTTTGATGCTCAACTTTTGGATTATTTTCTTGAGTAACGCTCTCATGTTGCAGTTGAAATTTCAGGGCAGCATAAATGATCTCTGCTTCAGCACAGACTCTACCTATTGCCCTTTTTATAGGGTCCTTGTTGTCACATCCTGCTCTCCCAGAACAAGTCCTTTTTAAGGCTATTCTTTGCGATATCATTATTGTGTACCTGTGTGCCAAATCCCCCTCCTCCTCTCTTGGTGTTAGAGATATAACGGTAGGTTGACTCTGCAGGACGGACAACATTTGATCTACTAAAAGCACTTCCCTCGTTAGACACTTTCCAACTGTTTCTATGTCCTCCTCTGAGGTAAACGAAGCACTGTTGTTCTCAGCTCCAGCTAAAGTCTCATCACTGAGGATCTTGTCCCCTCCTTTGCTGGCGTTAAGTGATTCCTGCTGCAGTTGATCAGCATCCTTCTCTCCTTGCTGAATGCAGGAAGCAGCTGCGGCGAGTTGCTTGTCGAAGTCTGTGATGTTAACCGGAGCGGCTTGAAGCCTCCCTCTGCAGGCCTGTACGATGTTCAGTGCGATCTGAAACCTGCCGGACAACACCCTGCAGCGCCCCTCCGCCTCCTGGGCGAAGCGCCGGCTCTGCTTGGCCTGGCTGTGCAGCTGCAGACTGAGGTGCTGAGCGGTGGCTCGGCTCTGAGTCAGCTGAGAGCAGAGGTGGGGGTCCTGGCAGCCGATGTGACTCTGGTGCTCCTCCATTCTTTGCATGATCTCCCTTAGCTTCTCCTCTGTCAAATAAAGCTTGGTTTCCAGGACCTGGATCAGACATAAAGCTTTCCGGGTCATCTCCTGCGTGATCAACGTTGGGCCTGCGGTCATTCTGAGGAGAGCCGCAGCTACATACCTTCAACTTCTCATTCAGCCTCACTTCTGTCTCCTCCAGGCTGTTCCCTAAGACTTCCATCTTCAGCAACACTTCAGTCAGCTCTTGCTCCTTCCTGTCCAGGAGTCTCTCGTAGCCTTCTCGTATCTCCTGGAGTTCAGACTCCCTTTGCCGCTCCTTCCCTAACGCCAGCTGCAGTTCCTCGCTAACTCTCTCGAACGAGTGCTCCAGATTGTAGTAGTGCGTCTCGTCTGTCTTCAAGCGGCTCTGCAGCCGGCTCACCTCTCCGTCCGCCTCGCCCAGCTGGCTCTGCAGCTCCTGACAGCACCGGTCTAGATGCCCCCTCTCATCTTGGAGTTTCTGCACCACAGACACCGTGCACGCCAGCTCCTCCTGAAGCTGCTGTTGAGCCTCCTCGATGTCCCTGGTCCACGTCTGAGTCTTATTCAGGCTGTCCACCTCCAGCTCAGACATGTCCAGTCTCCGCTGGAGTTCCTGCGTGAGTTGCTCTGCCTGCGCCAGGCTTGAGGCTAAGCTCCTGCGCTCTCGGTCCTGACTGGCTTGAAGGAGCATGAGGTGCTCCTGCAGGCGAGCCTCTTTCTGAGCCTGCGCCTCCTCATTGGCCTGAAGTTGAGTGGTCACCTCTTGGAGATGTTTGTGTAGGCGCTGAGCCTCCTGCTCCAGACTGTGGTAACTCTGCAACTCCTGCTGCAGCTGTGTGGAGCGCGACACGGCCTCCTTCCTCTGTCCCTCACTGGCACTCAGCTGGGACTTCAGCGAGGCCCTGCAGCGCTCCCACTCCTGCCGCTGCTCCATGAACTTCTGCCGGTCCTGCTCCAGGCGGGCCTGAGCGAGGGCAGTGGCATCGCCCGTGACCAGTATCTGAGCTTGTTGAGCTAAGAGGTCCACCCTTCGCCGTAGTTCTACTTCTCTTGTTTCTTCAAAGCTGCTCTTCTGATCCTCCAGCTCAAGGCGCAGGTCGTGGTTCATCTTATGAAGACGCTGTAAAACCAAAGCTTGTTCTGAAGACGAGTTGGAGTTTGAGAGGAGGTCGTTCTCCCGAACAAAGTGAGCAGTGTTAGTGTCAACTGTGCTTTCATGCTTATGGACAAGTAACTTAAAGGGGACCTATCATGCAAAATGCACTTTTGTACATCTTTTATACATGAATGTGTCCCCGGTGTGTCAGGGAACTCACCAAGTGTCAGAAAACACAACCCTGTCTCTTTTCCTCCATACCCCAAATCTCTAAAAACGGGGCTGCAATGGATCTGATACAGACTGATACAGATTTGAAATAACGTCAGAAACAAGGAGCTCCGCCTATATGGGCAATTCTCCACCTATCAGGGGAATGAGAGGTTGCGTGGCATGGTAACAGCATGGTAACAGCATGCTCGTGCCTCGTCCCCCTCCTTTGCAGGGGGGCATGGTCAGCTGCAGCTCATTTGCCACAGAATCAGCGCTTGTGAAGACAGGGCTGGAATAGAACAAATAGAGCGAAATGAGGCATGGCTAAAATGCATGATCTGTTTGGTATTTTGAAAAAAAAACTTCACAGACATGTTTTATATAGGTATGGCCCTACAATATATTATTCAAATATAGCATGATAGGTCCACTTTAACTTCTAGGGTTTAACTTTCAAATGATCTGGCATCCTAGCTTGCCTTTTTTACAGAGCAATGTGTGTTTTTCGCAATATGGCAAATTACATTAGTGCATCCCCTTCAAACTTATTGCTACTTAAAGTGAAAATGTATGAATGTTATACCATTTCACTTGCATGCCTCGCTCTCTCTTGTTGCACCTCATCCCGCTGATTCCTGTTTAACTGCCGCAGTCGAGAGAGTTCCCTCTGTGTTTGCTCCAGCTGTAGAGAACATATAGCTTTTCGTATGAATTTGACTAGAACAAATATGAATATAATATAAACGTAGAGGGGAAGCACCTTTACCTTCCACCACCTGCCCAGGAGGATTGATGGGAGACGGAGCGGAGGGTGAGATGGGGGAGGCCAGATGAGAGGAGGAGATAGCAAGCGATGCAGAGCTTCCATCAGCAGAACGCTGCTCTGCCTCCGGCTGCAGGCTGGAATCCTGGTGTTTCTGCTGCTCCTGTGTTTCCTCTGCACAGTCGCTGCTGCTGGGCTCGGGGTGTTCAGCTCTCTCCGGGCCCTCGGCTGAGTCTGGAAGCTGTGATTTTAGGGGAGTTTTCTGCTCTGAAAAGGAGCTGCGAGGAATAACAAAGAAATATGTTTTGACTAGACGTCATATGCACCAACGTCTATAAAATATCTTGACATTAGTAAAAGTAGAGACCCTTTAACAACATTATTGACCTTGTGACGTCAGAGGTAGGACTGTGCTTCACATTTTTCAACATTGCGTGGACCCAGTTGTGTCGCATAGAGGTCATGGCACAGAGTGTTTGCACCCCATCTATGGTCTGTGGGAAGAGAAATATCATTTATTATTACACACCTTAAAGTTGAGGAAGTGGATATGTTAGCTTTCCAGTTGAATGTTTGTGTTATGCTTTTTTAACTTATCACAGTTTATTTCAAATTATGGATTTAATTGATTTACCCTCAATATTTTAGTCCCTTTACTCGAGCATCCAATGTGAGTTTTCTTAATTAAATATCTTTTTTTCAATTTATATTTTTAGAAGACTTAGATAACATATACTGTAATAATGTGTATAGGGTTTGTTCCCTACTGGTACATCCAATAAGAAAACAATACAATATAACAACTAAGAAAGCAGAAATATTGGCAGTCTTGTATGAGGTTTTGTAAGAAGGTATTCATAAAGACACATTACCTGTTTCTTTACTTTGTTGCAGGTATGATGACATGCAGAGGAGGGAGATTCCTGAAGCTCAGAGGAGCTGCTTGTTTTCATTTGAACCTCCTCATCCCCATCGAACTGATCCTCGTCATCCCTTTAAGGCCCTGTAACACTGTCCCGAAATTGACACCCGATGGACACACGAATATGGAATTGTGAATTTCGCACGATGATGAACCACACACGAAGGCAACATTTACATTACATTTAAGACATACAACTGCAATGAAAGTACCAAAAACAATTGTGTTACAGTACTATGATACTGTACTGATATCTTCAGACTTTGTTCTTTACTTTATCCGTCGTTATATGTAGAAAATATTACGTTTTCTCCGTAATGTTGTTTCCATAACAACAACAACTTCCTGTCAACTGTCCTTCAAAATAATATCCTTTTTAGTTTCACAGAACACAAATTGGGTTATTTACATAATATATTTACATGATTTTGTTGTGCAATAAAACAACCCGATGGACACACGATAAAGGAAATGTTCAAATTCGGCTGTGATCGTAGCAACATCGGGCCATTCGTGAGGGCATCTTAAGCCATCGTATGACCGCCGGTGGAGTTTCTCAGGCTCCGGCTCCGGCAGCAACTTCGTGAGCGGTGGCAAAATCTTTGGCATGCCAAAAAATTGCCGAAGGACCTTGCGAAGGTTCATTTTCGTGTTGAATTCGTATGTCAATTGTGCCCTTCGTAAGGCCATCGTGAGGGCATCGTGTTATCATCGGTGCCATCGGGCATTCGCCCCGATCAGAGTGAGGGCGAATGCCCGATGGCACCGATGATAACACGAAGATGACACGATTTGACAAGATGTCCTCACGAGTGCCTTACGAAGTTGCCGCTCACTAAGTTGCTGCCGGAGCCTGAGAAACTCCACCGGCGGTCATACGATGGCTTAGATGCCCTCACGAATGGCCCGATGTTGCTACGATCACAGCCGAATTTGAACATTTCCTTTATCGTGTGTCCATCGGGTGTCAATTTCTGGACAGTGTGACAGGGCCTTTAAGGATGGAAACATAAACAAGCCCAGCAATTTTACATAATTCGAAATATAGCAAAACAGCAGCATTTCATAAAGCAACAACAAAAAGTAAAACCTAGCGTTATCTGAGTTCTTTAAAACAACAAACCTGAGCTGCTCCTCCGAATAAGACAGCAGTTTCTTTGCTGCAGTTGGTCCTTGTTTGACTGCATGCTCTGGATCTATTTCAGAGACAAAAGCTGTAAGTCATACTTTTTCAGAAGCTCCTTTAGTTATATGTATCCATTCTTATTTCTAAGAAAACCAATTAAACAACTACTTTGCTGTGGCGCTTAAGAGAAAACATTGAAAGAATTATGAAAAAAATAGCAACCACATTTAGATTTCTATACAAACATAGATGGACTTTAAAATAACTTAATTTGGATGCATATTCTCTGGAGGGACGAGAAGCTCCGGCTGCTGCAGAGAAGCAGAGCCTGTCTGCCGGGGCGAGACGCCGCTCGGGCCCCTGGTGGACGACGCTGCCTCTCTTCAAACTAACACCAGCTTTATTAGCACCAGCCTTATTATCACTGGCCGTCGTCTCACTACCTCTGGTGCCCAGGCTGTTGCTCCTTCCATAAGTAACGCTGGTTTTGCTGGCAGCCTGTTTACCTCCACTGGACACAGGAACAGCTGCAGGTTCCTTTGGGAGAGACAACATAGGCTGAACCTCTCATTTCAAGTTTCAAGGCTTTATTGTCATATGCACATTAGCTACAGTGTAGATATGGCAATGAAAAACTGAAGTCCCAGGCTCCCCCAACAGTGCAACCTGTGACTTAAGTTGTTCATGGTCTGAGTAGATACCTCATAAATAAGACAGGATTGTAGGTGTAAAGTTCAGGTGTAAGATTAAGACAGTAAAGCATAAATTGTCCTGTCACCCTGCACTTCTATTAAACAATTATTAAGTGGGCGTCACAATGTTATTCATATATTTAATTTGACAGTAAAGAGGTATACATTAAAAGAAAGCATTGGAGGTTATGATAGTTTTGTGTGGCCCAAGTTAATGAAAATAGGTTTCAGTTGGCAAACATCTGTCACTGAAGATTGTTAAAAGGTAGAATCTGTCACAAGTATTTAAGTACAGTTTCGACAAATATAGAGTGTTATAAATTATGAGCCAATAATTAAGATAAAGTGAAGTATATGATTGATTATGTGCGTGTTTGTTGCACCGAATGCAATACATACTAGACTATTTAAAAATGAAATGTCAATTAGTAATGGTGGTAATTTTACTTTGGCAATAAATCAACTCTTTTCACCATCATTTGTCAGAATGGTAACAGGAAACATGAACATGGCAAAAGTTAAACAACATTTTAACATATATTTTTGTATGAAGTAGAGAATAAGCTAAATAAAATGATCACATATAGACCAGAATGAACATGCCCACTCTTTCTTCTGTCATGATGTTGCTCATTATTATTATTTCAGCTGCCATATTGGGACAATGCAAGCATGTTTTTTATTATAATGATATGGCCTTCAGTGTCAAAATGAACATTTTTAGCAATGATGCCTTAACATTCATATATAAACAGGAAATATGCTGACTCACCTCGGCGCCCTGGACATCATTTTTAAGCAGTAAGGTGAAAAAACCCTTGTATAGACTTTAAAGATAAACGTATAAACTTCTGGCTGGTGCAAATATCCATCTGCAGTGAGATGTGCTTCCTCTCACTAAGGCAAAGTCCAGAGAAATCAAATCACAAGGAGGTCTATACAATAGTGTCCTGAAGAAACACGCACATAATCCCATACACAGTTGACAAACTCTATTAGAGTTTGGCAGGATTAGGCCAACAGTTTAACAGGATTACCTCGCTTAATTTTTAGTGATCTTGACAAACAAGAAAAACAAGAAAGCCCATTAAGGTTATATAAATACACCATATATATATATTTATTAGTTTTTTTATAAACAATTAAAAAAGAATATACATGTATGACATTTCTTATTATTGGAATATTGGAATATATATGGAATTACTGCATTCCATTCATTCCACCCAGAGTTCCATGGAATGTCAAACAGAGACATTCTAGGACTCTAGAACACCTAAGAATTCTACTAGGCCAATCTTCATATATCAGTCAGTCTGAGTTGAACTCAGTTTCTTGTCAAGACTGGCTGTTTTAATTTGTCACTGTCTTATTTCAATTTTTTTGAAAAAAAACATTACTGACCTGATCTACAGGCAACAGGTTTTCTGTTACAACATGGCTGCCTCTTTTGACAGCGACCTCCAGGTCATCAGAGGAGCACAGCTGTCCTCCAAGTTTTCAGACTACCTTGTTCTGGACTTAATTGGACAAGGAGCCTTTGCAAAAGTCACCAAGTGTGTCAAGTCCGCCACCAATGAAACGGTGGCTGTGAGGATAACAAAGACACAGACAGAAAAAGAGCATGGCATCCTGCAGAAGCTCAGGAGCTTTGACTCTGTTGTGGGGAACTTTGTAAGGTGGGACACCTCATTCCTCTACAAAGACCATCTCTGTCAAGAGTTTGAGCTTCTGGATATGAATCTGAAGGAGTTTGTGGATACGAGAAAGACCTTGTCTCTACACCTGAAAGACATCCGGCCTATTGTACATCAGGTGGCAACAGCTCTGAAAGTCCTGAAAGGCTTAGGGATCACTCACACTGATGTCAGACCAGAGAATATTATGCTAGTGGATCACATACGGCAGCCATTAAAGGTCAAACTTATCGACTTCGGCTCCGCCTGCGATGCCACAAAAGCAGAGCAGGTCCCATCAATGCAGCACACGTGGTACATGGCTCCAGAGGCCATTCTGGGACTCCTCTGTGACGAGCCCATAGACATGTGGTCTCTGGGCTGCATTGCTGTTGAGCTCTTCCTGGGCTCTCCGCTGTACCCCGGGAGCTGTGAATATGACATGATCTGCAAGATAACACAGACTCAGGGTGAGATGCCAGGGCACCTCCTCAATGCTGGACTCAAAACAAGAAAGTTTTACCTGAACACTTGTCCAAATAAGTGGACACTCATGACACCACATGAGTATGGAGGCATGTCAGTGATTGACAGCATGTTCAGCTCCCTAGATGATCTGAAGAAAGTCCAGCCGAAGCAAGACAGTCATGCCTCAAAAGCACATGCCATGAGAGATAAGGCTGATCTGGAGAACTTTGTGGAGCTGGTCAAGCAGATGCTGCAACTGGATCCTATTCAGAGAATAACACCCAGCCAGGTGTTGCAGCATCTTTTCGTTAGAACGAGCCATCAGATGGACTTCTGTCCTCCACAAAGTCTGAGATCCACACAGCAGCCATCCTCAAAAACCAGATATTCTCCTGGGGCTAAAAGTCCAGAAAAATCATTGAAACTGGTTGAGAATACTTCAAGCATCACTCTAATCCGTCCTCAGAAGAAAAGAAAGAGATTCTATGGTAGAAACAGATGCGGAGAATGCGCTTCCCCAGTAAGGAAGAAGAGGAGAACTTGTGGAGGTGGACCTTCAGTGAAAAGGCGTTATTGGGAAATTCCAGATGGCACTAGAGGATTTGGAGATTTCACTTCCCCAGAGAGAAAAAAGAGGAGGATCTGGGAAGATAAACCAATGCCAAAAAGGCGATATTCAAAGGCTAGGAAAAGAAACCCAAAGACATCCTCATCAGGGAAGAATATGAGAAGGATCTGTGAAGATGCACCTCTGTTGGTAAATAAGCCCATTGGTAGCATTTCAAGTGGCAGCCCAACAATGTTGAAGATCCCATCACCAGAAAAGATGGTAGAGAAAGTTACACCTCAGGTTAAAAGGCCTTCTGGTCAGATTTCCGGTGAAAGCACGACAGTCTCAAATATCTCATCACCTGAAAAGATGATCTGGGAAGCCACACCTTTGGCCAAAAGTACTTCTGGTCAAAAGTCATGGGGCAGCACAACAATCCCAAAGCTCCCATCTCCAGAAAATATGATCTGGGAAGCCACACCTTTGGCCAAAAGTACTTCTGGTCAAAAGTCATGGGGCAGCACAACAATCCCAAAGCTCCAATCTCCAGAAAAGATGATCTGGGAAGCCACACCTTTGGCCAAAGGTACTTCTGGTCAAATGTCATGGGGCAGCACAACAATCCCAAAGCTCCCATCTCCAGAAAAGATGATCTGGGAAGCCACACCTTTGGCCAAAAGTACTTCTGGTCAAAAGTCATGGGGCAGCACAACAATCCCAAAGCTCCCATCTCCAGAAAAGATGATCTGGGAAGCCACATCTTTGGCCAAAGGTACTTCTGGTCAAATGTCATGGGGCAGCACAACAATCCCAAAGCTCCCATCTCCAGAAAAGATGATCTGGGAAGCCACACCTTTGGCCAAAGGTACTTCTGGTAAAAAGTCATGGGGCAGCACAACAATCCCAAAGCTCCCATCTCCAGAAAATATGATCTGGGAAGCCACACCTTTGGCCAAAGGTACTTCTGGTCAAAAGTCATGGGGCAGCACAACAATCCCAAAGCTCCCATCTCCAGAAAAGATGATCTGGGAAGCCACACCTTTGGCCAAAGGTACTTCTGGTAAAATGTCATGGGGCAGCAAACACAGCCCACAGATCTCTCCCCCAGAAATAAAGGGGTTGAAGAATATCGTAATTACACAGGAGAAAGACACTACCATGCTACCAAGCACCTCTAAAGATGCTGCTTCCACTGTGAGTCAGCAGAAATCTCTGAACCAGGGGGTCGACAAGAACGGAAAAACTCTAATATGGATCATTGGATCTGGTTACGTTCAAAGAGGAGAAGTTGCAGCCTATGAGAACTTCGGTGAGAATTTTGGACTTGACGTCAAAGTTCAATGGTTTGGCACAGGAGGCATGCTCTGGAAGGGAGTCCTACCCCGCTTTCAGGCAGAGTTGTCAAACTCTCAGAGACCCCCTGACATTTTGGTCATCCACGCTGGCGGCAACAGCCTGGGAACAATGCCTGCAATGAACCTTGCATCAGTCATGAACAATGAATTGATGAAGCTCCATTCACAGTTTCCTTCAATGGCCATTGCATATTCCTGCATCACCGAGCGGCAAGTGTGGAGAAATGGACCTCCAGGGATGGTCAACTATGACAGGAAGTGCGTCAACACATTTATGCAAAAGTCTGTTGGCAACCATGGTGGTGAAGTAATTCAACATCCCCTCCTGAGATTTTTTGACAACAACATATATCTCCCAGACGGAGTGAACTTCAGCAAGAAGGGGAATGGAATATTTGTGACCAGCATCCGCAGTGTCGTGATGAAGATCCTTCAGAAATCTCACACCTAACTGCGAAACAAACATGTCTGATATGGATCATTGGATCTGGTTACGTTCAAAGAGGAGAAGTTGCAGCCTATGAGAACTTCGATGAGAATTTTGGACTTGACATTAAAGTTCAATGGTTTGGCACAGGAGGCATGCTCTGGAAGGGAGTCCTACCCCGTTTCAGACAGAGTTGTCAAACTCTCAGAGACCCCCTGACATTTTGGTCATCCACGCCGGCGGCAACAGCCTGGGAACAATGCCTGCAATGAACCTTTCATCAGTCATGAACAATGAATTGATGAAGCTCCATTCACAGTTTCCTTCAATGGCCATTGCATATTCCTGCATCACCGAGCGGCATGTGTGGAGAAGTAATTCAACATC